ACGTTATACGGTAAATAAATAGTAAACTTCGTTATATCAAGGTTTTTTTCATATTTAAAATCGGTACCACACTGTATGATCCGTTATATCATGTTATTCGCTATATCGAGGTTCGCTGTAGAGAGGGGTGACTGTATTTTTTTTATATTTTAACAGAACCCCAGACATCACATATAACTCATAACTGATCTGCATGAATTTAGCACTTTTTGCTCCTGCTAAAATAGACCTAATTTGCTAAAAATCAAATTATCACATTTTAAATCTATACTAATTTGCTAAAACTCAAAATATGAGTATAACTTTTTAGCAAATTGGCCTAAATTTCAAAAAAAATCATGTTTTTTGCAATTATCTCGGCATCCAGTGGTCCAATTTATGCGAACATTTTTTTGTTTTGTAGCCTTTATTGAGCTCTACAAATTAAAAAAAATCCGCATAAATCGGATTACTGGATGCCGAGATAATTGCAAAAAACTGAAAATAAAAAAAATGTTGCGAAACTAATCAAACGGTTTTTGGCCTGCATTATGCTTAATTTTGTCTGGAATTATACTTAATTTTGGCCAAAATATAACCCTGACTCCAAAACTAATATTTTTAAAATATTATCAATAAAAGTTAAAAAAAAAAGGATAAGTTAAATTCAAAAAAAAGTACCAATTTGCTCAAATATAAAATATGACTTTGTAAAATCAACACAATTTGCTAAAACTCATAATTATGACTTTTAATTAATTTTCAATTAATTTGCTCTATCTAAAATTATGAGTTTAACCTAATTTTGATTGAATTTGCTAAAGCTCAAATGTGAGTTATATATGTGATGTCTGTAGGGATGGTTAGATTAATCCTGATCCAGTCCTGGTCCTGGGACCTATAAGTCCTATTGAACGGACCTGCAGATCAGGTCCTGTTAGGACCAGTCCTGAACCTAGTCCCTGGACCTGGTCCTGATTAAGTTATTTATAGATTTTATGAATTTAGTAATAACTAAATATAAAAAAAGGAGTTGTGTTATTTCGATTCACTTTTTTATATTGATTTTATATAAAAAAAGTGAGTTGCGGTATCGCGATTCACTTTTTTATATTGATTTTATATAAAAAAAGTAAGTGTCGGTATCGCGATTCACTTTTTTATATTGATTTTATATAAAAAAAGTAAGTTGCGGTATCGCGATTCACTTTTTTATATTGATTTTATATAAAAAAAGTGAGTTGCGGTATCACGATTCACTTTTTTATATGATTTAATATAAAAATGTGAATCCCAATATCGCAACTCATTTTTTATATGATTTTAATAATATAAAAATTATATTGCAATATTGCAATACACTTTTTTATAATTTATAATTACTTAAAATCAAATTTACAGCAAATTATACATATATAATTTAAATATATGGATCTCTTATAACCTTATTGGCTAGGACTTTTTAGGACTTGGTCTGCTTCTGGTCCAAAATTTGAACCTAAAGATCTGCAGACCAGGTCCTAGAACCAAGTCTTTAAGTCCAGGACCTAGGACTTTACCATCCCTAGATGTCTAGGGTCCTATTTTAACAGTATTCTATTTTATTTTAAAAAAGAAAAAAGGATGGTATAAGAAAAAAAATTAAAAATCAAGTACTTTTAGTTATTATTTATCAAATATATAAATTTTGGACCATTATATTTTGCACTAGTCGAAATAAGGCAAATCGGCTAAAAATCAGATATCCGATTTTAGGTCGAATTACGGCTAAAATATGTCTGATTTTTACAAAAAATATATTCCGATTGTTATCCGATTGACTGCCAATCAGATGTACTTCAGAACTTAAATCGGACATAAATCAGAATTAAATCATACTAAATTCAGACAGTCAATTAGATGTACTTCAAAACTTAAATCAGACAAAAATCGGACTATTTTTTTCTGAATTTATTTCAATTTTTATTATCAAATTTATTAAATGTATTTATTAATTAAATACTTAAAAACTTTATAATTATATTATTATTATTACTTACGAATCTTGGTT